CAATTAACTAGAGCATCCCCAAGACTCCCCTGTAGAGCTGGAACATGCTCATGGAGCTCTCTACAGACTACATGATAGGGACTGTGATCCTTTGAGGGATATTATATGCTGGATTTTCGCTTCAAGGAAGAGATAGTACAGCGGGCAAGGGATCAGGAAACATTCACATTTAATGGTTCAGACATGAAGGTTTTTCAAGACCTTTCTCCCATAACCCTGCAAACGTACAGAGCTTTACGCCCATTACTTGCTGTCTTAAGGGAGTATAACATACTGATGGAAGTTTCCCTTCCACATATTTTTGTGCATCTAGAAATTCCACCAGTGCAGGTCCCGGACTAGTATCAGGAATTTCTACCACTGGACCCAAGTCTGGAGGGAAACCAGCCTCCTCTGGAACAGTGAACTCCAAGACGGAGAGATCAACCTGGCCCAGTCTTCCATACTAACCCACATTTGTTTTTAATTGTGTATATGATGCCCACGTGTGGTCTCCTAGACAGTTTTGCTCTTTTAGCAACACGGAGCCATAGTGAGCATATCTGGGTGTACTAGCATTTCTGGAGGGGAAGGCCTTCAGTTACACAGCAGTTATCACTTCTCAGCGGCAGTTCTCCAGTGTCAAAGTGGTCATCACACCAGTGAATGCCTTCAGTGGTGCAGTGTTAATCACACCTGTTAATACCTTCAGTGGTGCAGTGGTCATCATACCAATGTATGCACAGTGACCATCATCACCTACACAGGAGTCTTAGCAGGACCATCAGGGTTGGCAAGAGGGCCATGAGCCCAGTTATATCAGATCACTCTGAGAGTAAGCCCAGTAATACCATTAGAATTCTGAGAGCAGAACTCCATTCAGTGAAATATGATACATTCTCCATAACTACCTCTCTGCTAGCAGAACCATCAGCATTATCGTAAAGTGCTTCCAAGACAAAATAGGGCCCTGACGTTACTGGCAGAAGATCTAGATTCACATATAGGTCATTCATAAGGAAATTAGGATTCTCCTTCTCCCCCTATTCCCTAACTGCAGCCTAGGCCTAGCATAGCCTCCTGAGCCAGTATTTTCCTATTCCAGCTGCCATAGTTGCACTTCAGGGCTATTGTTACAGTTATGCTGAGCCTGGTTAGCTAGTCTATTTTATGCCAGTTATATTACATTTAACATTTATAGCTGTTTATCTACCTGTTCACAGCTGTTGATATGCCTGATTGTTGACATTGTCACTATTTTGAGCTGTGTCAATACAGCAGAATTCTATTTTATTCGTTTGTCTAATGCTTTTTACTGTAAGCTGAAAGCTAATTGAGACAAACTCCTTGGTGTGGTTGCAAGATGCGTTACTCAACCTAAAGTGTGAGAAGAGTTGAAGTGTTCTGAAGGTCAATGTCCAAATCAGGTATAAAGATTTTTTATACTGAATTTATGTTTATAGAGTTCGTTTGTTATATGTACATATAGATATTGGTGGGACACTCTAGAACACCCTTTTTTTTCTCCAATTTTTTTCTATTTTAGCAAATTCCTTGACAAATCTTTTATAATAAGAACAAAATCCAAGGAATGAGCTCAACTCGTTGATGTTACTGGGAAATTCTCTAGCCTAGGCTTGTGCTTTTGGAGTGTCTTCCCAAAGACTATGATGTCATTAAGATACACCAGTACCTCTACCAGGTACAGTTGTGTTCAAAATAATAGCAGTGTGTTGAAAAAGGTGAATAAAGCTCAAAATCCTTCTAATAGCTTTTATTTCCATACACACAAATGCATTGAGAACACTACACATTCTATTCCAATTCAAAACGTGAAGAAAAAATATATCAAATTTGTGTTGTTTCTCTAAAAAAATTTAAGAAAAGTGAATATTAGACTGTTCAAAAAAATAGCAGTGTTTGTATTCTTCTTTACAAACTCAAACATTCACTATATAAACTGAAAAATGTTTGAAGATTTTGCTTTGCTTTGAATCACTTAATGAATATTTAGTTGTATAGGCACTGTTTCTGAGAACTGCTGCACATCTGTGTTGCATGGAGTCAACCAACTTCTGGCCCCTGTGATCAGGTATTCCAGCCCAGGATGATTGGACTACATTCCACAGTTCTTCTCTATTTCTTGGTTTTGCCTCAGAAACTGCATTTTTGATGTCACCCCACAAGTTTTCTATTGGATTAAGATCCGGGGATTGGGCTGGCCACTCCATAACGTCAATCTTGTTGCTCTGGAACCAAGATGTTGCACGTTTACTGGTGTGTTTGGGGTCGTTGTCTTGTTGGAACACCCATTTCAAGGGCATTTCCTCTTCAGCATAAGGTAGCCTGATCTCTTCAAGTATTCTGATGTATTCAAACTGACCCATGATCCCTGGTATGCGATAAATAGGCCCAACACCGTAGTATGAGAAACATCCCCATATCATGATGCTTGCGCAGCCATGCTTCACTGTCTTCACAGTGTACTGTGGCTTGAATTCAGTGTTTGGGGGTCGTCTGACAAACTGTCTCCGGCCACTAGGCCCAAAAAGAACAATCTTACTTTCATCAGTCCACAAAATGTTGCGCCATTTCTATTTAGGCCAGTCAATGTGCTCTTTGGCAAATTGTAACCTCTTCAGCACATGTCTTTTTTTCAACAGTGGGACTTTGCGGGGGCTTCTTGCAGATAGCTTGGCTTCACATAGGCGTCTTCTAATTGTAACAGTACTCACAGGTAACTTTAGACCTTCTTTGATCTTCCTGGAGCTAATTGTTGGCTGAGTCCTTGCCATTTTGGCTATTCTTCTATCCATTCGAATGGTAGTTTTTCGCTTTCTTCCACGTCTTTCAGGTTTTGGTTGCCATTTTTAAAGCATTTGCGATCATTTTAGCTGAGCACCCTATCATTTTCTGCACTTCTTTATATGTTTTCCCCTCTCCAATCAATTTTTTAATCAAGGTACCCTGTTCTTCTGAACAATGTCTGGAACGACCCATTTTCCTCAGAATTTCAGAGAGAAATGCACTGTAACCAGCATGTACAACATTTGCTGCCTTCCTTCCTTAAATAAGGGCAATAATTGCCACCTGTTTTTCAAAGAATGAATGACCTTACTAATAGAACTCCACACTGCTATTATTTTGAACATGCCCCTTTCAATTAGTGATTCAATTACACAGAATCAGCAGCATGCATGTCATGACTGTTGGGTCTGTTGGATTTTTATTACTCTACTACACCTGCTAGTAAATTATTTGCCATGTAGAAATATCATTTATACCCAAAAACAGAGATTGATCAGGTTAGTGATGTCTGACTGCTATTATTTTGAACACAACTGTACATGTCTCCCACCACGCAGTCTATCTGCGAAAATGGCTGGAACTCCTGATGACCCAAGAGGCATCCTATTGGACTCGATGATCCATTAACTTGTCTGATCAACATCCGAAGGTTTCAGCTTGACTGGGAAGTCTGTATTATTCTGAACACTGACTGAAATTCTCTTGTGATTTCTCTGCAGCACCTTCGTTGATAGCACTTTAATCAGATCCACCCCTGTGTCCCCTCCCCAAGGTTTGGCTTCAAGGACAACAAAGGGCCCAGGCTGATCCCAAGTCAGCTTGACAGTGGCTCATAGGCAGGCTATTTCCCCAGATTGTATTATCTTCTCTCTTGTGTCTAGCCTTTACAACTTTCCCACTCCTGTCACTGGAGCCTTCTGCCCCTGTTTCACACATTGAAATGATTGACGCAACTTTGGGACAATATCTTCAGCTGTGGAATCACCCTTTGTGGCTATGGGGGTGAGCAACTTTATTAATAGACCAATGTTCGTCCCTGTTACAATGGAGTTCTGTTTATCTCCTTGAGGGCGAGTACACACGACTGCCAAAAGCATCAAATGCCTCTGTCTTCCCAAGTACACAAGGACCAGCTTGATCAGGATGTATCCATGATATGGACCTTCTGCATGCCAACACCCCATATTTCAAAGTCTTCAAACCTCTGTAGGGGTATATTTTTCATATACTTGTCATAGAAATTTCAGTACAGCTAAAAATATTTTTTATACTGAATTTATGTGTTTACAGTTGGTTTGTTATATGTACATATAGATATCGGTGGGTCACCCTAGAACACCCTTTTTTTCTCCATTTTTTTCTATTGTGTTTGTTGTGGGTTGGTGACGCCCCTGACCCCCCCCCGCTATAATATCTCTATATATTTCCCATCCCACTACTGTTTTCACAGCCTCACCCTTTATGTCCAAAGAGAATTTGCTAACATAGCCGACCGCTGAATAAGTTACTACAAACTGGGGGAGAGAATTGTGGGGCGGTAAAGACAAATCAGCCAAGAAAGGGACTCAGAAGTCTTGGGAGTGTATCCAGGATCAATGGACTACAATCACATCTGAGGACTGGTGAGAGGGCAGTGTGCCCAGTTATATTACATCACTCTGAGAGTAAGCCCATTGAAATACTATACATTCTCCATAACTACATCTCTGCTAGCAGAACCATCAGCAACAATAGGGCCCCTATGTTGCAAAAAATCGAGTATCACCTGCAGAACAGTCATAAGGACATTAGGACATTAGGGTACTGTTATTCCCTTAGAATTGCTATTCTCCTTCTCTTCCTTAACTACAGCCTAGGCCTAGCATATCTCTGGGTGCTCTGTGGCAGCATAGCCTCCCGATCCAGTATTTCCAGCTGCCATAGTTGTACTTCAGGGCTATTGTTACAGCTATGGAGAGTCTGATTAGCTAGTCCATTTTATGCCAGTTATATTACTTTTACCATTTGTAGCTGTTTATCTACCTGTTCACAGCTGTTGATACACCCGATTGTTGACATTCTCACTATTTTAGTTGTGTCAAAATAGCAGAAATCTGTTTTATTACTTTGCCTAATGCTTTTTATTGTATGCAGAAAGCTAATTGTGACGAAACGTCTTGGTTTGGTTGCAAGACGCATTACTAAACCTAGATTGTCAGAAGGGTCGAAATGTTCTTAAAGCGGAGTTCCACCCAAAAGGGGAAGTTCCACTTTAAAGATTGGTCCTCTGCTCCTCATTAAGGATTGGCACATTTGGGGAGCGGGGGGGGGGGGGGGGGACGAGTACCCGGATTTGACAGTTACCCACTCCCACTTCCACTGTGATCGCCTTGGCGATCGGAAACGGAAGTTTTCCTCCTACCCTCCTTCCTGAAGTCTTGTGGGACACATTACAGGTCCTAGAAGATGACGGGGCCATTCAGGAAGCGCAGCGCCTGAAATACAGTACAGCTGGTGAAACGAGCTGCGGCGGGGGACAACGTGGGATCGTAGGACAGGTGAGTGGCTGTTTTTAAAAAGTCAGCAGCTACAGTTTTTTTAGCTGCTGACTTCTATTTTTTTACAGAGTGAGTGGAACTCCGCTTTAAGGTTGGAGTAAGCAAAGGTCTGTTCATCGGCTCCTACACAGGTAGAGCTACATATCCTTATTTTGTGTAATGCCATCAAGTAATATTTTTCTTGTATTTGTCAAGCTGTACACCTGTTCTGGAATTATAAATTTTGTGTATATTTAGCTTTTCTCATATGCCACTCTGTACATTCTTGCAAAGAGGGGGTGCAGCGCTAATAAACTCAACAATGTCAAAAGTAAATAAAATGTATATATAAAGTGACAAGGTGCAAATACATAGGCCACTAAATAGTGGTCAAGGTGCTAAAGGGTGTTGACTCAGTATAAAGTCCAAAGAGAAGAAGTGTTGATGAGATCTCAAATGATCTCAGGATGTCCAGTGATGCAAACCGTGGATCTGGTGATAAATAATAATGAGATTGCGCACTCACCAGATACGCAATTAAAATGCGCATAAATAATAGTAATCCTTTAACTTGGAAGAGCTCAGATCACATGGAGAGAGCGGAGCTGACTGAGATGATGGACAACAAAGTGATGAACCCTGAGAGTGAGAACCAGCTGCATCCCTTGTGAGGAGACCCCATGTGAGCTGTATTAATTGCGTGGTGACTCCCCATGAGTGTTAACACCGCCAGGGAGTGAGGATTAACCTGACCAGATCTGACCAGACCTATTTTGATGATATCCGGATGACCAGAGGATTACTACTATTTATTTGAATTGCGTACCTGGTGAGTGCGCAATCTCATTATTATTTATCACCAGATCCACGGTCCGCATCACTGGACATCCTGAGATCATTTGAGATCTCATCAACACTTCTTCTCTTTGGACTTTATACTGAGTTAACACCCTTTAGCACCTTGACCACTATTTAGTGGCCTATGTATTTGCACCTTGTCATTTTATATATACATTTTATTTACTTTTGACATCGTTGAGTTTATTAGCGCTGCACCCCCTCTTTGCATATGTGTCTTGGAAGGTTTATGGGTAACTTTTTTGGTGTACAGCCGTTTATGTATTTGGTATTGTTTTAGCGCTCGCTTACTCCTTCTGCATTTATCACTCTATACATTCTGTTGAACTTTAATAAAAAGTTATGGAACTAAAAAATGTTAAGTCCACTTTTACATTACTTTGGGGACAGCACTTGTATGTATATAACCATAATCAAATCAGGAACTCACAGGAATTGAAATAGGTATATTGACTATATGGATAACTTAAGGCATATGCAAATTTTGTATTTTTCCATAGAAGTTGATCTGGCTCCTGCCTCTCAATTGGTCACTGAGGTCCATCACATTAATGCAGCAAGAAGAGGAAAAGCTTGAGGCCAAGCTTGACACAAAGAGAAATGTCCACATAGATATAAAGACCTGACCATTAGGCTCCATGCACACTGGGTGGTTTAATAATGCTGGTAACATTAGCTGTCTAACGTCACATTAAAAGTGTGAGTTTCTCAGCGTGTTTTAGCATTTTGCATTAGCATCTAGTGGTGTTTTGCCGCGTTTTTTCGCACTTGCGTATTTTTATTAAAAAAAATGTTTTTGCTTAAAAAAACGCTTGTTTGTGACGTTTTACCGCGTTTTTTTAGCATTAGAGTGTTTTCACAGCTAAAAAACTCCTCTAGAAACCCACTAGTTCTGGGGGTTTTTTTCCAGCCAAAAACCGCTGATTACAGTCTATGTGCTGGATAACATGCTGGGGAGTTTACTGGCTGTAGAAAAAAACATCAAAAGCCAAAAACAGCCGCTGTAAAAACGTCCCGTGTGCATGAGGACTTAAATGTGAAGGTTAACGTTGAGATTGCTGGTAAAGTTCAGGTCGTTATATCCATGGACTTACATATTGACGTGCAGTTACCACTGAATATACTGGCTGCTTGTATGTTTTTCCATCATTTGCTCATTTTGACTTTCCATGGTTTGTGACAAATTTAATTTATAGTATTATAATTTGAGTATTTCAGGCATGTGTAATCACCCCTGAACGTACCTATCGGTGCAGAATTCATTATCTGTTTCTGCTCTCCAGCTGCATTAATTACGGCAGTAGATGTTCAAATAAAATGTCCCTAGTTAGATCCTAATTTCCGCGCTCTTATAATTCTACAGTACGATTATTATCATCAACTGTTTTCACGGGTCTTGCTCCGGAATTTTGTGACTTGGAAATTAATGATGGAGTTGACGACTTTCCCGATTTGCATTTTTCTTTTTTAAATTGCCAGCCTGTGTATGAATGTCTCTCTTCTGTTGGACAATATTTCTCATCTGCACAGAACTGGTGACTCAGCAGGCTGGAGCAGGTGCTACGAAGTACAATTAAAGCTACTTTATGAGCCTGTAAATGATCTGCACTTCATTAGAAGTTGTGCTGGCTTATGCTTAGTTAACCTTTCCCATTATACATGACTGGAATACCAACTTGATTTATGATCTCTGATTTCTTCAAGTTGTCTGCAGGTAGAACACAGAGATATTGTACATAAGGGATATATAAATTTCAGGTCTACTCTCAGAATGATCTTTTTAATGATACATTTGTTTTTAATGATACAACTTGAAATTGCTTGAGGGCATTTGTAAAAAAAGACCTGACATGATAGCTTAATGGGTGCCATTGCTGATGCAATCAGAAGGTCAGAGGTCATCTGAAGGCTCACAGTTGTTGGCCTGTCAACTGCCTGGCATTACAAACCATCTCCCAGCTTCTGAGTGTACAATGTGTTGGGTAACACAGTTCATGAACAAGCATATGTCAGACTTCAGGTGACCTCTGACCCCCTCTGACACTTCAGCTAACATGTCAGGCTCAGTAAAGTAGAAATATATATCTTTCTAATTAAGCCTGCACAATTCTAATATAAAAGCAATATGACTGACTGCCCCTGCTTCACATAGGACCCACCTCCAGCCTCCGCTTACCCCCGGTTCACATATATGCAGCTGTGCGGGCCGCATTTTGCACGGGCACAAGAGCCCATTCTTTTGAATGGACTCCCGTGCCAGTGACACGCAGCGAAGAAGTCCCTGCACTTCTTTGGAAAATGCAGCCTGCATGGGAACCTCGGAGCTAATGGCACCCACCCGCGGGTCCGCATTTCTCTGTGCGGGTGGTGCGGCTGCACTGATTTTTGTCCGGATCCGCAGCAGCACCACCCGCACCTAGGGTCACAATGGCAAATGGGAGTGATTTCGTGGCCGCAGGAACTCAGGGGGGGCCCTTCTCCTTGAGAGAGTGACATATTTGGAGGGGAGTGTTATGGCAGCCTCAAGAGGGACTAAGAGATTTAAAGCGAGTGTAAATTAAATCTAAACAAAGCAAATAATTCTATAGTGTTTATTTGCCTCTCTCCAAAGCACTCCAAAGTGTCATTTCTCCCTGCTGTCTAGTTCCTCTGTTATCAGCATGAATCACCTTTGACAAGTTTACCTGACACCAAGAGGGTGACAGGGAAGGGCACAGCCTGTGATTGACAGCCTCAGCTCTGCTCCAGAGTGCTGTGTGAAGGAGGGGGTGTCCCTTCCGCCCATTCAGTTCTCAGAGCTCTTGTACATTGTGTAACTGCAGCTCCCCGCCCCTGCTTTGTGAGTCTTTGAAAAATCCTTTTCATCTCTGAATTTTACAAGGATTTAAAGTGCTCTTAAACTCACAACAGTAAAATCAGTCTGTAGATGCAGTAAAGCATGCTTGTTATTCTCACTGTGGAACCTAAGGGGTTAATCCTCTGCATTGTGTAAAAATGCTGTTTGATCCTGAATTCTCTGATCCTCCCCTTCTTCCAGTGTCCCCCTTATCTCCTGATAAGACATATCCCGTGGAGACACTCTGCACATGCTCAGTTTTGTGTGTATTGCTAGAGAGGGGTTTTATTTTTTGCTTGGGAGAGTGCATGTGATCAGCACAGGGCCAATCAGCACTATCCAGACAGAGGTCAGGTGTTCTACATCCTCCTATAGCAGAATGAAAACTCCTCCTACAAGTTTTACCATGTGCTCAACTGAACACTGATAGAAGTCACAAGACTTCTCTAACTGCTGATGAGAAAAGGTATTTAGCAGCTTATATTTACTAAAATAATTGCATTTCCATGTTCTGTGTATTGTGGGAGACCAGATATAGTGAACGCAGGGTCCTGGGTTTAGTAACACTTTAAAGGATAAATTGTCCAGATAAACAGGTACAACATATTTGTGTATTATCTGAGGCCAATCACTTCACTGGGTATAGGTAATGGTCAAATTGATTTAGTGGTCATTCGCCAGGAACAAGTAGGCAAGTGAGGAGAAGGGAAACCAACCATTAAAGCCAAGGGATCAGCATGACAGCAAAGCTGCTAACATTGTAACTGTGGCCACCACCACCGCTGTAGCATACTGACTGACAGCACAGTAGAACAATTGTAGCTAAAACTAAATCACAGGAACATTCTTTTTTTTTCATTCTGGTTCAGGCCTTCTAATCTTTGAGGTCCTGTTCACACTTGAATATTTGTAGCTGAAAAATGCTCAACATGCAAAAACCTATTGTTTTCAATAGTCCTTGTTCACATCTGCATGCCCCATCGCTTGTTGCTCAAAAAAGCACAGGAGCTACGTTTCAGGCAGAATTGAGCATTTTTGTCTCTATAGACTTCAATAGAAACATCTGAAAAATGCAACAGTAGCTTTTTTCGAGTATTTTGTCAAGCATTTGTCACATTTTTTTCTGCTCAAACAGCAGCTCTTCACCCCTTTTTCAGC